TGCTGATTTTGTATGTTTGCCCACTAAAATTATAGACTGATCATTTCTTTGTCAATGGTAGGTTTATTTGAACAGTGAGAGACAGAATAACAAAATCCAGAAAAACGCATGTCAAAAATGTTATAAATTGATTTGCATTTTCATGAGGGAAATAAGTATTTGACCCCTCTGCAAAACATGACTTAGTACTTGGTGGCAAAACCCTTGTAGACAATCACAGAGGTCAGACGTTTCTTGTAGTTGGCCACCAGGTTTGCACACATCTCAAGTGGGATTTTGTCCCACTCCTCTTTGCAGATCTTCTCCAAGTCATTAAGATTTTAGATGCTGACGTTTGGCAACTCGAACCTTCAGCTCCCTCCACAGATTTTCTATGGGATTAAGGTCTGGAGACTGGCTAGGCCACTCCAGGACCTTCTTCTTGAGCCACTCCTTTGTTGCCTTGACCGTGTGTTTTGGGTCATTGTCATGCTGGAATACCCATCCACGACCCATTTTCAATGCCCTGGCTGAGGGAAGGAGGTTCTCACCCAAGATTTGACGGTACATGGCCCCGTCCATCGTCCCTTTGATGCGGTGAAGTTGTCCTGTCCCCTTAGCAGAAAAACACCCCCAAAGAATAATGTTTCCACCTCTATGTTTGACGGTGGGGATGGTGTGCTTGGGGTCATAGGCAGTATTCCTCCTCCAAACACGGCGAGTTGAGTTGATGCCAAAGAGCTCCATTTTGGTCTCATCTGACCACAACACCTTCACCCAGTTGTCCTCTGAATCACTCAGATGTTCATTGCCAAACTTCAGACGGGCATGTATATGTGCTTTCTTGAGCAGGGGGACCTTGCGGGCGCTGCAGGATTTCAGTCCTTCACGGCGTAGTGTTACCAATTGTTTTCTTGGTGACTATGGTCCCAGCTGCCTTGAGATCATTGATAAGATACTCCCGTGTGGTTCTGGGCTGATTCCTCACCGTTCTCATGATCATTGCAACTCCACGAGGTGAGATCTTGCATGGAGCCCCAGGCCGAGGGAGATTGAAAGTTCTTTTGTGTTTCTTCCATTTGCGAATAATCGCACCAACTGTTGTCACCTTCTCACCAAGCTGCTTGGCAATGGTCTTGTTGCCCATTCCAGCATTGTGTAGGTCTACAATCTTGTCCCTGACATCCTTGGAGAGCTATTTGGTCTTGGCCATGGTGGAGAGTTTGGAATCTGATTGATTGATTGCTTCTGTGGACAGGTGTCTTTTATACAGATAACAAACTGAGATTAGGAGCACTCCCTTTAAGAGTGCGCTCCTAATCTCAGCTCGTTACCTGTATAAAAGACACCTGGGAGACAGAAATCTTTCTGATTGAGAGGGGGTCAAATACTTATTTCCCTCATTAAAATGCAAATCAATTTATAACATTTTTGACATGCGTTTTTCTGGATTTTGTTGTTATTCTGTCTCTCACTGTTCAAATAAACCTACCATTAAAAATATAGACTGATCATTTCTTTGTCAGTGGGCAAACGTACAAAATCAGCAGGGGATCAAATACTTGTTTCCCTCACTGTATATACGGAGCTCTGTCGATTTGCAGTAAATAAATGGATTGGAATTGCGAATCGTTGCCCTAAACGAAGTGGAGCGGCGATTGTGTAACGTCATTGATGACCTGCCAGGAGTACATTGGTTCCATTTTGGTTCCCAGACCTGTGCGCACACGTGACCACAAACCTGCCACATGTGCGCACTCCTCACACACGGCTCCCGAGTATGATTGTGATCAGTATTGAACAAGCCTATGGGAGACAGAGCGGATAGGTCACCTAACCAGCGGGTGTCATACAAAGGGGATGGGTCATGCTAAAATCTAACAATTAACGTTTGTTTTACTTCCAAAACCTCGCAACATAACTGATTTTCAGCCAGAAATAGCCAAACATTAACTTTTAGCCTCGCTGTGAATTAAAACCGACGTGACGATAAAAAAAAATATCCACAATTTCAACGTCTGTAATCGAGTCCAAGGAAAACGTTCCGTGTTTTGCGTTCAGCTGTGGATTGTAGATAAGAAGCAGAAATAAAAATTTCGCCGCGGTGAAATATCGACGAGCGGCGGATCGGCGCCACCGGAGCTGTGGTTCATCTCGACGATAACTGGATGTGAAAGCGAATCAATTTCGAGTCGATGTAGTGCCACGGCTTATTTTCTTTTTTGTGCCCTGAGGACCGTCTGTAAAACTAACCGCAGGGCGCTGTTAACTGGCTGCGACGTTAAACGGGTTCAAATGAACATTCATCCCACGGGGGGATGTTTCCACGTTCAATGTGCTCGGACGGCGCAGTGTGTACTGTAGCTGCTGCTGCTGCTGCTGGCGTGTTAATTTTTTGCTCGAGTTCTCCGATGTGGTTTTTGGGTGGCGCTGTGTGGCGTCCGACGTTTTGCGACACGCGTGCCGGGAGCTTTCTTCGGGATACTGAAAACGGGTGGCTTGAGCCAAAAACGCATCTGAAGAGGCGTACAGCTCGGCCCCTCGCAAAAGCCTCGGCAGTAGCAACGCTTTCATACGGTTAAAACAAGCGGCCGCCTGTTCGTGCCGCTGACGCCTCGAGACTCGCCACACGAATACATCAACAACCTTTAAGTCTAACTGCAATCTAACACTCCGCATGCAGTTCAACGCGTGCGCTTCGCTACGCCGACGGTTTGTCAAAGACGGCGTTAACTTGCGGACAGATGTTGGTTTTAATAAAGTTTCAGTTCGTTCGGATTTAACATTTTCTTAATTTGCTGCAATAAATCATGTCTGTTTGGCGAGTGGAGAGTAAACACGTGCCCTGCTGCCAGGTTGTAGAACAGCCGTCGTGCACGTCAGCTGACTTGACTTGAGCTACGGTTTGGAAAACACGAGCCGGCTTGTGCCCTCCAATGCAACAATACGGTGTTTACATTGGGATATCGTGGCGCGTGTCACTTAAAACGGAGTTTGCGTAACGCACAACGTGGCCCTCGCTCAGTGTCACTGGAGTTGGCCCTCGCTCGTTGTGGATTGCTGGCTTGCTAACGTCTCGGCAACGTGAAATGCAAAGAACGTAACCCGTTGCTTTGTTCGCGACAAGCTTGTGTGTAGAACTTCTTTCGCACCGTACGTAGCCAACCATGCTAATCAGAGGTGCGGGGGGGGGGAAGGTCACGCTATAAACAAAAAGCAGTTCTAAAGAAATGAGCTTTTATTGTAGGTTATTTAAAAGTGCATAACTCCAGTGGTTTCCTCATATTGGAAGAGTGTTCCAGACAGCCGCAGAAAGGCATCTGAACACGCGCGATGCAGTGGCGAGCCTGGGAAGAAGTCTCGTGCAATTTCAGTCCATTGGCCCAGACTGCAGAGCATGTCACTTGCTGGCACCACCCGAGATGATGGCAAAACTTTAGTTATTTTATAATAATTTCGTTTTATACTGTCATTGCGGTGAAATTGCATCCCAAAGAACGCCGAGCATTGCGAGCCAAAATCCACTTAAATTGGCTGCGTATAGAGATTGGTCTCGCTAAACATTGCCGTCACACCGCGGTACCAAATGCTGCTCTGTCACACGGACTAAGATAAACTCGGGCACACGCTCCGCCGTGCAAAGTGTATAATTGTCTTATTTGAAGCTTTCGTGACTGCAGGAATCCATACTCTTTGGTTCTTTCGGTAAAGTAATGTAGGTAGAAACATTAAACAAAATCAAAAATATCACGTTTCGAAAAAAATAATCCAGCAGTGGAACTGCTGAACCCACTGCTGGATTATTTTTTCCGTCCGAGGACGACCGCTTGTGTTGCGATCGAAACGTGATCTATTTTGGTTTATTTTTCGACCTACGTGACTTTACCGAAAGTCACGTAATTGTCGCCGGCGAGATTTTAGCGGTGAACCCAAGTTGTCGCTTGCTGCTGCTGCTGCTGCGGCGGCGGCTTTGTGATTGGCGTGGCGTGTTGCCACTCGGGGGACGTAACCGTGTGTGTTTTCTTGCGCGCTGAGAAACGGGGATGGATTTGAGTTTCCGCTGTTTGTGGATGTGACCGCCTGCCGGCATTTGTGCGCACGCTGTGAACGCGAGATGCGAACGAACGCTTGTGCCGATGAGGACACTAAACGGTTGCAAGGCCTTTGACATGTTTTGTCCTTTTTTTTTTATTCCCCCAGTTGTATTACTAATGTGTTATCCGAGTCACGTGATGATACAAAGCGTTCATTTGGGTCTCTCGCAGAGCCGTGCAACCCCCTTCGTGTTATAGAACGTCCTGCGGAAGTGGATATCACAGAGCTACCTCTGAGACACCTCCAAGTGACCACTGATCCATGCAGCTGTTGGCAGCATTTTCCCGCCCGCCGTCACAGTATTATCCGTCGCATGACAAACCAGTACTTTAAATTCTCAGCGCTGGAAGTTTGCCAAATTAAGTGCAGAACTACATTTAATGCAGATTTATTTTTGTGCAGTAATTGGTTATCTCGGCTAAGGTCCACCAACTCGCTACATTTGAGACTTTAGGCTTCATCACAGGTGGCTGGAACCCGGATTCGAACTCACACGGTTCCAGCTCAATGGTCTCTGACCTCTAGCCCAACCGGCCGCCTGATGAAAAGCTCTTACTCTTACACGTCCCATTGTCATGGCCGGTCGGAGCGCTGCTGGTAATGAGGTTCGCGATTCCTAGCCACCCTCCCCCACCTATGGCATGCTGTGCTGTAGCAGCTGTGACTTCCTGCACATACCCAACAAGAACTTGACCTTAATACGTCAGATGCTCTGGAACAATGATTCGTAATTGAGTTTTGGGTCATATCGTGTTAAGTAAAATGTGTGTTGTACACCCTCCTCCACCCGTCGCACAGCGTTATAGCTCATCGGATTCTTCCAGTAAAATAAATATTCAGATTGAGGTCATACTCAAACTTTAGTTTGTTTGAGAAATTGTGCATGTTATACGTTTTATTATTGATGAAAGGACAGGACAATTTTGGTGTTTCTTTCCTTTTAATGTTGATTTTTCTCCACATGCTGCACAAAACAGCTTTGCGTGCATGTACATCACACACATCGTGCTGGCAACAACACAAACTGAACGCACAAACGGGCGCATGGTGGTAGCCAGCGCTCGTGTCGGCAGCGACGCTTCATGAAATTGTAACCGACAGACACTGCAATTAAAGAGTCGCCACATCGCGCTTTCGGATGCGATTCTGTGGTTATCTGGAACGCTCTTCCGATTTTAGGAACCCACTGGAACTATGGACTTTTAAATTATCTAGATTGACAAACTAATTTCTTTAGAACTTATTTCTGTGTTTAGTTTATCCTTCCCCCGCACCTACATATGGTGCGACAACTCAATTACCAACGGTTTCAAACATCATCCTTTAAAAGTAGCCATTCCCAAACATGTTTGACCACGAGATCGCACGTCGGGCCCATCGCGAGAGGGAGCCCTGCTCGAGAGCATTTGGCCTACTCTTCCACGCTTTGTACTCACATGTTTATACACACGTACTGCTTGGTAAAGTGGGGTGACTAAACTTTGTAGTCTGGGCTCTGGATTCAAGGAATTAAATGGGCCCCCCCCCACTCCCTTCATAGCCCGGCACCTGGGCCCCTTCAACCCCATGGGCCTCAGTGGACTGCCACCGCCTGCATACGCACTCCATAGCTACGCCGCTCGCCCAAGAGCTGGTGCCGATAGCCACGCCGATTTGAAGTTCGCGAGCTGCTGAGCTCCGGTGATGATGCGGCACAGCTTCAAAAGCACGATGTCTGGCCCACTTTTTTTTACTCGTTTCGGCACCAATGTCAGGCTGCAAATACGGCTTCCTGTGTGTAACCGTCTCCTTTGTATTCCAGTGAAAGAACGTTTTAAAATAAAAAATACTCGCGTAGCCATGGGTGGGTACAATATAAGGTCACGAGCTACAACGTTAATATCCCGACATCGAATCAAACGTTCCTGCAGCCTTAAAACTAAACCCTAACGCAACGGAAACGTGACGCACAAAACACTGTTTTCACGTTTACAGCTGCCACACCACGTCGGCCTGCTCGTTTAACACATTAACAACCGTGTGACCGTACCAACGCATCACGTTCTGAACACTTCCTTTCTTTGCAGCAACAAACGAGCAAACTCGCCCACAGAGTATGGGAATTGTTTGTTACAAAACACATGAAATTTATTCGTCATTCCTTTTTTTGCCTTAGTCCACGTAATGACCTAACCAAATCTGTATCGTAATACCCCCCCCCCCCAATCACCTGACGGAGGCAAAAAAAATGTTTGCCACACGGTGTACAAGCATTGTAAGAATGCTCCGATTCTTATCGTTTCAGCAGCGACTTAAGAGGATGTGACGTTTTTCGCTTGCGACTGCATCAAGATCCAGAAATTCGGAATCGGGTGGGTAGTAGTGGTGGTGGTGGGTTCCTAATGACACATTTTGCCGAATCGTGAAGGGGGGCTTAATGCAAAAGTCAATGGTGACTCGTACCATTGGCTGTGAAAGCCTCCGTGCTGAATGAACGCGCTGCGTTGTTATGATGTCACTTACAGTGCCACGACACAACTTCAGAGCAACCACGGTGGCTCCAGCAGTACCACACAAAGCAGTAAAAACAGGAAAATTATATTTTAAAAAAAATTATTCACCAACATTATTGACCCAAACTTAATGAGCTAATCATTTAACATTACAATAGAATGCCGGTTTCAGCCGCCAGTGATGAAACCTGATTCCCAAGTCGAACGGACTTGATTTAAGGTAGTTCCTGCTCTGCAAAGTTGAGCATTTTTTGTTCCATGCTAAACTCACTGCAGGGCATGTGATTGGGCACCCCTTGTGCCGAGCGGTGGAGAAGTCGTTCTGCGACGGCAACTTCTGGAGCCGTTCTCTAACACGGGGGGGTTGCGAGGCAGCTGCTCACTAAGAGTTCTGAACGGAAAGCCCGTAAAATCCATGACGCGATGTCCAACAGCACAAGTGGAATACGTTTGGGAGAAAAACGATATCAAAGCGCGATGAGGGAAACACGAGGCGGAGGCCCAGGTGCCGCCCGAAAGCCTTCACGACAAGCCAAGCCTTTGTGGGCCGAAGGTGGACGATTTAAATCGCGTGGGAACCCAAACCAGGTCCGGGAGCCAAATGCCTACAAGTTCTGCTGTGCGCTCAGCAAAATCACATCTGTGCGTGTACAGTAAAAAATCGGCTGGCTCACCAGCTGATTTCACACGCTCGTGTACGCACAGCTTCGGCATTCGATCGCCGTGTAAAACCACGTTGCCGCGTACACGCCGCTCTTCACCGCGCCCATAGTACGCACACGAGGGCACGCATCCCTTGGCGATTCCCGCGTGCATTCTCACTCCGCGCGTCCTGCAGGTGGCAGTGATTCAACCCTTTCACTCTGCGGCACGCTCTGGAGCTCGCTCGGTCTTCGCGGCGCGCCCCCACTTTAAGCTCGACAGCCGACGGCACGGGGCACTAAACAATTGTGAACCTGTAAACGCACGCACGGTAACGCAATGCGTCGTGGCTCGCTACGCACGCCGCTTATAGCGGTTGCTTCCGCAACGTTTCGCAGCAGAGGGTGATGATTGCTGCGGCCTACGATCCCAATTGAGTGATCTGTGTCCGGCCCACGTGCCGCCGTTTCCCCGCCCCCGTTTCCGTCGCCGCCCGTAACAACAAACGTCTTTCGCTCACCGGCGAGCGTGCCGTTGTGCGCGCCAACGTGACAGCGGCGCTTCCCCGCACACCGCCCCCCCACCGGTCCCACGCGGGGCACGAGCAGCACCGGCGGGGTCGGGCCGCGGAGCTCCCTCTCTCCGCCACTACCGGAAGAGGCGGAAGGAGTAGGGCAGGCGGCCATCCTTGGAGGCGAGCGCCTGCTGGATATGCTCGTAGGGGGGCAGCTCAGACAGGTCGCCCAGCGCCGCCACGGCCGGCTTTCCGGAGAGCATGCGGCGCGCCACGCGCTGCACGTCGTGCGCCGTCACAGCCTCTGTACGACAAAGCACAATCGACGCGTGCACGTGAATGAGCGCACACGGCAACGAGCGCGCGCTTCCGACGGGCGTGCGTACCGAAGCGTGCACACGGCAGCGCGCCCAAAGCGGCGCGCGTGTAACCACGGGCACAGACGCACACAGCAACACGCGTGCGCTACAAATACATGCACACACGTGCCTGCACGTAGCTCGATGGGTTGCACCTCACCGCGTCCGCATACGTTCACGAAATTGCCATTAGGCATAGCAACAACAACATTGACTGCGAAGGCTTGCCAGGACCATCATGAAAAAGACGACTGAGCGAGGCTTTCCCGGCTAAAGGAGCGTGACCCTACAACCTGGGGGCTTGGGGTTAGTGGCTCACACATGGACTAAACCGCAAGCTCAGACTGCCCCCCCCCCCCACCATTAACGCACCGTGACTGTCAAACCACTGCCCGTTTATGTTTCCGTTGCGGGCGGGGCATCGCTAACCGCCTCTGTGCCACACACCGATCATCGAGCAGAGCTCGTGCGGCAGCTTGCGCTGCCCGGTCGACAGCACCTGGCGTCCCACGTCCTCGAAGATGACGGGGCGAGACTCCAGGTTCATCATGAGCATTGAGCGCAGCTGTGTCTTGGCCCTGTCCAGCTCCGCCTGCACCAGCACGCAAGGATCGTTATCCATCGGCGTCTTTCATCGTCGTCACCATCACTTTCATCACCAGTCATCTCGACTACTCAATTGGAATATCCATTGCAATCATCGCCCCCCTACTGTGCAAACTTGGCAGGACCCTCCAAAAACAGTCACGAGACTCGAGGCTTTTCTGGGTAAACATGCGAAATCATAATAATGTTAATAATCATGATCTTCAGCCTTGTTATCATCGACATCAATGGGAAGAGCACAGTAACAGCGCCCTAAAATGTCCATCGGCACTGAGAGCGGGATGTCAGGCGTGGGAGAAGCAGAGCCAAACGGCCGCAGCAGCACCTCGTGTGACTCGGGCGTGGACTCGTCAGTAGTCCTACAGCCTCTTCTCAACAACGCCTCAGCGGTGCCCCAAGGGTGCAGAGCTACGACGCAACGTGAAGGACATTGCGCGAGGGGTCGAGGGACACTCCGAACTCACCTCTCCTACGTTTCCTGCCATCAGCACAAACTCCCGAGTGATGATCTCAACCATCTCCTTCACCTGCGGGGACCACACACGCACATCGTCACATTCGTTCCCAGCGACTACACCACCCGGATATCTTCAGCATGACCAGTCACTGCAAGATAAGGGCCTCCCCACGGCTTGCGGGTCACAGTTGTTATCTGACCGTACTTCACCACGCTGGTCAGCGCGGGTTGGCGAAGGTGGGGGGGGGGGCACAGAACAGCCGTTGCCGCACTGCTCTCTGCTGCCCTCTGCTGCCCACAGCTGCCCACGGCGCAGCTCCGCGTTCGCCTACAACGGACCCGGCTTGCAGGGCGGTCACTCAACCCAGCACTACCCTGCTGATCTCCCGTGACCTAACAAACGATCGGGCACACGTCCGCCCAGTTTGGTCACGGACGCATGCGCGCGCCGATAGGTGTGACAAAACTCCCGACCACGCTCCAACCCGTTTGGACTCCTCGAAGCTGACGGAGGAGTCAGGGCGCGGGGGACAGGCGGTGAAGCGGGACAGGCGCGACGGGCGAGCGTGCGGCACGCGGTGACGGCAGTGGAGGAGATAGTGGTGGCGGTGGTCACCTGACGCGGGTCGGCGCTGGCGTGGATGCAGAAGAGGCCGGTGTCCTCGTAGCTGAAGTGGTAGGACGTGGCCGAGTACATCCAGTGAAACCTGTGTAGTGGATTCGAATTAGGTGCACACACAACTCTTGGGAGGCAACACGTATTTATTTATGAACACAACAGTTAACTCTTACATTATGCATAGGGTGGTGACCACCGACCTACTCTAGCTAACACACACTTCTCAGATACTCTAGGGAGCTACAGCCTCCTGTCTTGGCGGGACTTACACGTCTACCGCTATCCTAGAGTCCTCCGGTAGGGACCTACACACGGATCTCTTCTTGGCGTCTTCACGATGCATCTTCATTTTTGATACGGGCAGCCTCGAACTTCGTGAGGAGGCCGCTTATATGGGCCTTGGCGGGCCCGGGCCCCGCCCCGGCCACGCCTCCCTTCGAGAACCCTCTCGAAGCCCCCCCCCCTGTTGTCCACGTGCCCCCCGAGGTGCCCCCTAGGCCCCCAGCCCCCATTGGGGTCCAGTCACGTGTCCAGCCGGGGTCACAGAGAGTGCCACGACCTCACACCACCCTCGTGGCCTCCCGAGCCCAGAACCGGCCCTGACGTCATTCCCGCCTCCAGCCGGGATGACGTCATGTGTGTGTGTAGACCCGCGTGGTCGTGACGCTCCCCCGCATAGTGGCATGTGTACGCAGTAGTGATGCTACCATCACTACACCTGCAACACAGTGCCATGCCTCGCTCGCGATCGAACCCACTGCGTGTTCACCATAGTAGTAATGGCAATAACACTGCGACGAGCCGCCTGCGTCACGGTGGTCGTGTGCCGGCATCACCGTCCAACTTTATCAAGTTAGAAAATGTCACCGCAAGTTACGACCCAATTTGGGCTCGCGCAGCAGCAGCAATCGCCCTCTACCCTTAAGACTGATGCCACAGGTCGCTCGTGCAAATGAGGCTCAAATGTGAAAACTGCCCACCAAACGCGCAAGCTCAATGCTCGCCACAGCCAGGCGCAAGCGACGTGGGCCCGTCCAACCGTGAAACTCCGGCGGACTATGCCCGTCTGCGAAGCGCAGCGCCTCGGCGAGAGGCGCTGCGCGACGGCGCCAAATATCAAACGGCCCGATCGTTTGGGGAGGTTAACTCGTGGCCGCGACTCATTCAGTCGCTGCCATCGCGCAGGTGAAGCACGCCGGCGCGCGCGCGCGCGCACTCGCACCTGTTGAGCACGTTGAGGTAGAGGCGCGTGAACATGCCCTTGCCGGGCCCCCCAGCTGAGAAGGAGCCGCCGCCCCCCATCATCATGTTCAGCACCGCAAACGGCACGAAGTCGTCCTCCTGCACCCGGCACACACGCGAGGGAGGGGCCGGCGGCGGTGGTGGGTTGAGAACGGGAGGGGGGGGGGGGGGGTTAAGTCAACGGTGGTTGTCCTGTGGGTGGCCTCGGCCCCCTATTATAAAAACGTGGAATTGCCACCAATGGCCGAGGGCTGTATATAGGAAATGAGCGCCAATGCCTCGACGACTCAACCGAGCAAGGCGGCGCCTCACCAGGAAGGAGCAGCTCTCCAGGCCGATGACGACGTAGGTGAGCTCGGGGATTGGCGTGGGGCCCATGCTCACGTTGGACATGTCCTTCACCTCCTGCGAGACACAACGACAAAGGTCCCCCGTGTAGCCTTCAAAGACGGTCGGGGCAAGTGCCGTTAAAGCGTGCGGCCTACGCAGGCTGGCGCGGCGTGCGCACGCACGCGGGGTGGGGGGAGGGCGCCGATGTTTTCGCACCACATGCCCCCCCAGAGTGCTAGTTTTAAGGCTGAGTCGACGTAGGGGAGTGCCCGGGACCGGTTTGGATGTCACTCGTCGCTGATGTTAGCCGCAGCCGGGCATGACACTGGGGATGTCGAGCTTATAGCTCAATGTGCCAATCACTGCACCGCCAAGCATATGTACCAAGTGCAGGTGTCACGTTGATTCTGTTTAGCAGGTCGTGAGAACTCAAGGGACCAGAGTCTCATTGGCAAGAGCGATCTGGGTCACTAAAAAGACAAAATCAAAATAAAATATAGTACACCATTGAAGCAAATAGAAATCAAAGCATAAAGAGGAAAAATCGAAAATAACAACAAAAAACCCACTGCCTCATCAGGCTGCTGGGGCTGTTCGTGAGCAGCCATTACGGCCGGCAATGCATGCAAGAGGCGGCTGTGGCCATCACCCCGCATGGCCACCTTTGTCTCCCCAGTACGTATGGTTACACAGCGCACCAGGTGCACGCCGAAGGTTGCGCTCATTGCTCCGTGTCACATTGGTCGCAACGCTGCATTCTTCTTGTGAACAATTTCAAAGAAAAGAATGCTCAACATATAGCTAGAGGTTGCTACGAGGTATCTGTGCATCTGCGTGTGTCCGTGCGTGTTTATGCCCCGGGTGTAGAATGCTATTCGTATATATTTTTTAAAACCACAGTGGTTTGAGGCGTGGGTTAGGAATGCCCCCAAGGTTAGCGATGCGTACCACGCAACCTATTCAATGGCGGAGCACACAGAGCCGCTAAAAGAATAAAGAAGTCGTTAGTCATGAACGCCGCGTCTCCGCGCCGATTAGGAACTCGGCTCCAGAAATGTCGCCGGGTGGCTCACATTTCAGAGGTGACGATGATAAACTCCTGGGTTCAAATCCGGGTTTCCAGCTACCCGCGATTAAACCGGCTTCTCAACGCTTTTGTTGACAAAATGGGGAACAGCTGAAACCTGCATAAAGAAGCGTGGAGAGGTGCGTGGAATTGCATTGAGGGTTGAACGTATGGACCTGGGAACGAACGCAAAGCAGACATCCTGTGGCGTGTTAAGTGGGCTTGTGCAGAAGGTGTCGCTAGAAGGGGTCGAGAATCGCTACGGACTGGCAGTCAAAGGACGGAACGTGCCCAAGAGGACGTCCGCCGTGGAGGACCGAGCGTTGAAATCGGCTTGCGCGTGGGAACCAGGCGCATCGCTGCATCATCGCGAGACGACGATGGCTTGGCGAGGCCTTCAACCAGCAGTGGATAGACCACTCACCTTCACCTGTCCGCCCGTGTACTGTGCCACCGAGCGGTCCGGGTCGACGCCTTTCCCCGCGCCCCACACCGGGGTCACGCCTGCCACACGCACAAAGACAAAGATCCCCCGTGTAGTCTTTAACAGACTGTTGGGGCAAGTGCCATGAGCGAGATCGACGCGACACAGGAGGGGTTGGCGGGTTGCCAGCACCACGCCCGGCAGCCTTTGCCCAATGCTGATGTTTACACCCCGCACCACGTACTCATTTATGTCAACAAAGACAAAAGCGCGCACGCGGGGTCAGGCCGGTGTCGCGTGGCCGGTGCCGCATACACCGTGCGCTACACAGGGACAGCTGCCACTGCGGGTCCCCCCTCGACCAGACGGCAGCGGGGCACCAGAACGGACGAGATGGCAGACGCTCCCGAGCGAAACCCCCTCCACCACCCCCAGCGACCGGCGCCACCCCGCGTCCTCGGCCGTACCCTGCAGGTGGCGCTCGGCGTACTGGACCAGCGTGCCGTGGTCGACGCCCACTCCGGCCAGCACCATGCGATCGGGCGAGTAGTGGCTGCGCAGGAAGTCGTGCAGCATGGGGCGGTCGACGAGGGGCAGGCTCTCGGCGGGGCTGTACCGGGCCAGCCCCACCGTGTTCTCGCGAAACGCCGCCTGCACCAGCGCAAAAGAGAGGGAGGGCGTGTGTGGCAGCGCGTCAACGGTCGTTGCACGCACACCGATGACACAGCGGGGGTAGGGGGGGGGGGGTGGTCGCAGGATCGGCCCTCTATGGAGGAGGCTCGTGAAGGATGCTCCCGGGCAGTCGGGAGGCAGTCGACCTCCAACAACGATGAAAGGCGGAGGAGCGACGCTCACAACAACAAGCAGAGCGCCGGGCGGCTAAAGTGCAGCAAGTTGGCACATGTGGTGCATTGGCCCGTCATCTCAGTCAACTCATAACACCTGGATCTTTCCTGTGAGCTCCTGCCAGCAGCGAGCCTTCCGTACTTTTTTTTGTGATAGCCTCAAAGTGCACCTAGCCTGGCACAACCACTGCGGGGACGTCACCACAAACTTTGTGGCGGACGGTGAATGCGTGCCTGTGTGTTGGTGTACGTTTGTTGTGCGTGGACAAGAGGCAGCGGGTACGTAAACATCGTGTTGACAATGTGTGGCGATGGCGAGATTGGATCACGGTGCCAAACAATGCCGACGATGCCCGTGAGACACGAACCGCGTGGATCATCTCCGTGAGGAGCGGCTCCGGGTCCGGCCGCAAGGCCAGGTCCTCCAGCTCGAAGCCGATCGTTGTCTTCGTCATCTCCAACTCCTCGTCTGGAGGCCACGCGCACAGCAGACACGCAGACACCGTCACCGACAAATTCGGGGGAAAATCGCACACGGAGTACGAGACGCTCTCCACCGTCCGTTGTCCTTGGAAATATTTCACCAGCAGTGCATCAAAGCCACTTAATTTATCCCAAGTGCAGAACCAAATGTATCGTTATAGGGTTTGTTGTGCAGTCAATCTGCACGAGTCTGTGGGTCTCTCTCTAAGTCTGGATGTCTCTTTGCGAGACTGATTCTCCACGTAAGTCACTGGTAACGGAGTTGACACCATCAACTCACTGCACTCGAGAACCCAGCTTAATCACGGGATTCGAACCCAGAGGCTCTGACCACTGAGCCACTCGGCCTCCTCGAGGCTGAGCAACGCATATGAAGAAAGCCAAGGGGTGGGGGAATGATGTTTCTGTGGTGCAGGGAGGCGGCTGGACACAGCACCGGGGGAGAGACTGAGAGAGAGGAGACCCAGCCGGGCGTAGGGTGCGACGAGCACGCGCGAGGACAAACCTGTGAATCGCGGCTGCAGGATGACGTCCGACAGGAGGCTCACGACCGTCTCCAGTCCGCTCGAGTCCACCGACACGGCGTACATCGTCGTGTCCCTGGGAACGGCGAGCGCAGACGGAACCCGAACACGTGCCGACAATGTTGTCTCAATCGACGGGAACACGGGGGCAATGCTGTCTCAGTCTGTAACAGAGCACCGCTGTTGTCTCGGACAACAAGAGGGCGGAGCAGCCTCACCCAAGTTATTAGTGCCATTCATGAGGCTCAACTCGGCTCAGACAGCGGTGGGTGGAGATCACAGAAATAATTTGCAGCAACATCTCAAGTTTAAGCCACAACCTTTCTGCACGAAACCAACCAACAGCCATGCGTCCACAGAGGGAGCTGCGTTCAGATTTATTGCGATTTTGGGCAACGGGATTTTTACGGTGGGGATTGCTGCGGCAAACCATTGCCAGTTGCCGGCAACCATTGCTCTAAAATGTCCCCAGTGGATCACGGCCTGCCCAGCGTACCGGCAACCAGGAAACACGGCAAGGGGGGGGGGGTACAATCTCGAGTGTGAAGCAAATGGAATAGGATGCACGCGGTTATTCGTAATGCTGATGTGTTTGAGGGAGGTGGGGGGAGCGTCGTTCACACCTGGAGGTCTGGCAGTCACAGATGCCGCCGTGCTTTTCCAGCATGTGAAGGATTTCATCGCGGCTCCCATACCGGGCTGTGGACTGCCAAACGGGGAAACGCAGGGATCGCAATTGTCCATCAATTCTCTCCGCCATTCCCTGAAATTAATTAGCTCGCGTGCAAAGACAAAGCAGACCACTGTCACACATTTAGTCTTCAACGGAGACCGACCGGGCAAGTTCTGTAGCTATGAAGGCTGGCATGGCTCACAGTGGGGGTGGTGTTGCCAGCGCCACGCCCGGCCGCCTTTTGTTTTGGCAGTGCTGTTGTTGACATAATACAGCGAGTAATCATTTATTGTTGAGTCAATCTAAGAGAATGCCAGGACAGCTTCAGGTGTCACTCACCACTGATGTTAACCGTGGCTGGGAATGGAACCCCGTGGCTGTGTTCGTAACACAATGGGCGCTAACCACCGCGCCAACACTCCCGGCGTGAACGGAAACCAGCGGCACACCCGCGCACCAACGTGACGAACTTACAGAGAACGCAAGCTTTTCCAAGAAGTGGGAGATTCCGCTGGGATATTTAACTTCGTGTCGCGATCCGGAATTCACCAAAACTGCAGAACAAAAGAAAATCGAAGATCACTGGAAGTTGAGTACAACAAATACAAGCGCTCGTCTCTGCCGGTGGAACTTTTGCAGCACAATGATGTCACAGTTGTTCAGATGATGGCAACCCTGCTGAAGACCAAATCACCCGGAGCAAGTCCAACACCATCACACTCGGAAGCCAAGCAGGTTCGAGCCTGGCTAGTACTGGAATGGGGGGGTGGCATAAAACAAAAAAACAGCTGTCATCAGCTGCTGCTTGCGAGGTTATGCTGTTGGCAGCGGGGGGGCAGAGCAGCGAGATCTAATGTTGCACTGTACGTCTATGCCACCGCACCTGTAGCCCCCCCCCCCCCACTTTCACCAACCCATGCAAAATATGGTCAAATAACCCCCACCGCTCACACGGTTGAGAGGCGACCATCATCCAGCAGTGGATTGACGAAAGGGTTCAACATGTACACGTGTGTACACAATTCCGGGCACTGCGCTACGAACCCGGCGACCCGAGTGTGATTCTCGCTCATGGCCAACACCAGTGACGACTATATCTGAACCAGTCCTAGGCCTCCCCTAGGTCGACTCAGCCTCAAATGAGTACCTGGTGTGGTGGGTGAACATCGTCACTGGGGAGGCAAAGGCGGCCGGGCGTGGTGCTGGCCACCCACCCCCTCGTGTGCCGTGCCGGCCTTCATAGGTGCTCGCTAACAGCACTTGCCCCCAAAAGTCTGCAAGGCTATACGGGGGATCTTTGTCTTACTCCCATGTTCCCACGCTTGATACAACAGGTTTGTGTCAAAGAAAACGGATATATACTGGGTCATCGAACACCGAAATTCACCCCGGTATTTCGCGGACGCTTGAATGCACGGCTCTCACCTCCCACTGTGCAGAACTTGCCGAACTTGCGCTGCGACGCGACCCTGAGGCCGTTGCCCAACGTGGTGACGTGTGTGTCATATGTCTCGTTGCCCGTCACCTGGGCATACACGGGGAGGGGCAGCCCTGGCAGCGGCTGCGTGAGGGGCGCCCCGGAGTGGCCGCTGCCCTCGCAGAAGCTGCGCCTGAAGCCGAGGCCGTACCTGGAAAGGGGGTGGGTCACAGGGGCAAGACGTTTAACGTTGAAACATTGAGTACGGCTGGAGGGAGATCAGTTAATCGGCTGAAAAATTGTCAGAATAAACAAATTCCAAGTGATCTCCAACTCAAGAGAGCATTGAGGCGATGCTCATCTCCTGTTTACAACGCCGAGCCAGTGGTGGAAATTCTGAATTCTCATGGTAGGGGAGAGGCTATCCATGGGACGACCACCGTTGACTTCTCCCACATGGCGGTACTCGCTTTATCGACCCAGGAGGGATGGTGGGCTGAGCTAACCCCAATCAGGATTCGAACTCGCAAGCTTCCGATTGCGTGCCGCTCGCTCCACCGTTGAGCCACGTGATGGACGACGTAATCGACTTGAGCCCCTTTAAAAATGCAACCGCTCTGAAGGAGGGAAACCTCCCCCTACAAGCCACACCCAGCGTGACCCGGCTCATGTCGTTGACAACGGTTCAGGCTTAGCCCATGCTCAGCTTTTTCAGCAGAACTGAGTCAGTGGTGGATGTCCCACATTCACATGGTGGGGAACGGTACGTCCATAGAACAACCACCATTGTAACCTTTCCACAAGTGAAATGATGACAAGGACGACGTAAACTTAATCCTAGCTAAACATTTGAACTCGCGGCCTCGTAATTTGGAGGAATGAACGCAACAACGGAGCTGTAATGCAGGCAGACTGGGCAAAGCGCGCCCACTTCAGTGTCCCCACGGCGAGACCCGGTTATATCGGAAACGTCTCTTAAAATAAAACAATCTGGCGTGTATCTCAAAGTGGCTCTGCATCCGTGGGGCAAGCGGTGTCAGCGATCGCCTACGAAAGCCGGCGCGGTGCACGAGGAAAGCAGCGTGGTCAGCAGATGACGCCAAGTCAGCACCTTCCCCACCCTCAGTGCTGGATTTAGTTTTCTCCCGCGAAATGAAATGCGGAATAAAAATGTCAAGTGATTCATTTTGGTCGCTACAGTAAAACTATTATGAATTCTTTTGCATCATTAGACCTCCTTTGCCAGTACCAAAATATAATAATAGAGTTTTTCCCCTTTTTTATATTTTATTATATTTTGGTACTGGCAAAGGAGGTCTAATGATGTAGATGCTCACCCCGAGCCCTCATTACTTTGATAGTGCATTGTCTTTGAGCTGTACGCCTTTTAGCGTCATCTGGTCGAGCACCAATTGGGTCGAGGCTCAAAAGAAAGCCGTCCCTTGGTGTGGACCAATCAGTTTCAAGGACAATGCATATATTATCATAGTATGCTTTTTGTTTGCATTTTGACTGCAGGTATTGTGGTTAATGCAGACATGAATCCTTGTAAAAAGGTTTCAGTTTTGTTGCCAGATAAAAGGGAAAAAACCCTATTATTACATTTTGGTGCTGGCAAAGGAGGTCTAATGATGTAGATCTCTCACAGCGTCACAATAGTAAAGAAAATACACAATAAGTGCGCTGAACACTGCGGCACCGCTCCTCAAAACGTTAAATGCGTTCACCAAAACTAGTGTTTGAACCGGGGTTGTTAAGCAGTAAACGTTTCCAGCGGGTTTTCTAGGATGGAGAGGCATCCCTGTAAACCGCGTATTTATCAGTGCCCCCTACCTTATTACAGACCAATTCAGACCTTATTGGTCACTCCCGTGCCCTTATAAATTCGTTCATCCTATACACTACACTATACACTACATGATACACTACACACCACACTGCTACAAACCTGTCAACCCCTTATCAGTGCCCTATCTTATTAAAGACCAATTCAGCCCTTATTGGTTACACCTATAAATCTCAACGTTCATCCCACAAAGTGCCATCACAAGCGAGAAACACAAACAAATAGACAATACATTGTCCTACTAAATTCCCCTGCACAATAATACGGGGTAAACCGTGTATGGGTTTGACAGCTATGGAGAGGTGGTCGTAACCCACACTAGAGTTTTTTCAGTTTAATTTATTTTGGTATATCCCTGTGAGCCATTCGGCTCTTGAATCGGGTGCAACCCCAAACAAAAACACGAACAAGAAAACAACTTAAAGTGACTATGTGACTGTGCAAACAGAAAATCCAGGGGAAAAAAACCAGCAAAACATTCCAGAAAAAGCACCGTACACCAACGCTGAACAGAGGCAAGGCAGCAGGAGGATTTGAAAGTTCGGCGTTGCCGACTATGACACCATCGCAGGTACAAAAGTTAAAGCGTAGTTATTTTAAAATCTAGACATTTATATTATGCGAGCCAAACCGGTTCCCCCCCCTATTTACAGGTAATGCAAACAACAGCTTAGTTTACCCGTGGCAAAGATGCAGCGCAGTACAAGAGCAAAAGTCTCCCGTAGAGCCCCAAACAGACCGCGGGGTCGATCGAGTAACGCCGACTCAGGCCAGCAGAGCAAACGGGGTGGCCGGCAACCACGCACGGCCGCCTTTGTCTCCCCGCGTGGCAATGTTTTACTGCACACGGCACACCAGGTACAGTGACACTACAGTGTTCATTTGAGGCCGAGTCGACCTAGACGGAGGCCCGCCAGGACCAGTTCGCACGACGGGTCTCGCCACAGCTCCCCGCGACTGCGGTGACCCTCCCCCGCCCTCACGCACGTGCGGCGCCTCTCCTGCCGATGGTGCGGGCGTTTAACCGTTGGCCTCCTGAGCCGAGCTCGCGATGTTGTTGAGAAGGGAGAGAGACGGGAGAGGAAAGAGAGAGTGGAGGGGGATGTGGAGGAGGTGAGAGAGGAGGAGACGGGGTGGGGGGGCACCTCCTGTTGCTCCACCACGAGCCGACGCGACCTCCCGCGATCCCGCAGCGCGCCGCCATCACAGCCCGGCCTGGTTGAGGGTGGGGGGGGAGAGGGTGGGGGGGGGCGTGACGTCACGACGCGGCACTAAAACTCTGCGAGCGGGCCGCCATCTTACGTGGGGGGCGTTACACTCGGCGGTTAACTGGCAGGCATCTTATTCTTGGTTCTTTCGGTAAAGTCACGTAGAAGGGAAACAATAAAATAATAAAAATATAAAACATTAACATTATCCCGACGTTTCGACTGCAACACAAGCAATCATCACGTGTGAAAACCACGGCAAGAAAATTTGAATCGGCTAGTGGGCGTCCATCTTACGTGGGGGTGGGGGCGCATCACTTAACTCGGTTAGTGGGCAGCCATCTTACCAAGGGGGGGAGCGAGAACGTCACTAAAATTCGGCTAGTGGGCGTCCATCTTACGTGGGGGTGCGTCACTTAAATCGATTAAAAGGCGACCATCTTACATGGGAGCGTCACTAAAACGCGGCTGGTGGACGGCCATCTTACGTGGGGACGCTTCGCCGCCCATCAATTCTTAGTCGCCACCAAAAGCAGTTGCTGCGATCGCCTTTCACGATCGTGAGAAGTGATTCGTCCGCGTCACGCCTGTACACCAACACCTTGGTGCCAAAATTAAGGACGGAAGTGGCCGCCAATTAGATGCAACTCGTTTTACAGACCAAATCGACTCGTGGCCAGGTGCTGTCACGTGGGAGGTGTCGCATTGTATGACCGCGGCTTGAAAAGCCCTTACCCAGCAGTGAATAGATCACGATTTATGTTAATAATGAAGCGGGACGCCTTCTTAACCGGGATCGGCACTCGGTCGCGTCTTTACAACAGCGAACGATCACTCGTGACGACCTCGCGTCGCAGGACAGTGAAGGCGCCTGCAGGTGGCAGTAACAATCTGGCGTGTATCTCAAAGTGGCTCTGCATCCTTGGGGCAAGCGGTGTCAGCGATCGCCGAGCTGATCATGCACCTGGCGTAGCCTGAGAGAGGCCTAGTTAATCGTGCGACGGACCCCAAGCTGTGTTCTTGCCAAGGCAACATTGCCACGGACCCCAAGCTGTGTTCCTGCCAAGGCAACATTGCCACGGACCCCAAGCTGTGTTCCTGCCAAGGCAACATTGCCACGGACCCCAAGCTGTGTTCCTGCCAAGGCAACATTGCCACGGACCCTAAACTGTGTGCCTGCCAAGGCAACATTGCCACGGACCCCAAGCTGTGTTCCTGCCAAGGCAACATTGCCACGGACCCCAACCTGTGTTCCTGCCAAGGCAACATTGCCACGGACCCCAAGCTGTGTTCCTGCCAAGGCAACATTGCCACGGACCCCAGGCTGTGTTCTGCCAAGGCAACATTGCCACGGACCCCAGGCTGTGTTCTGCCAAGGCAACATTGCCACGGACCCCAGGCTGTGTTCCTGCCAAGGCAACATTGCCACGGACCCCAAGCTGTGTTCCTGCCAAGGCAACATTGCCACGGACCCCAAGCTGTGTTCCTGCCAAGGCAACATTGCCACGGACCCCAAGCTGTGTTCCTGCCAAGGCAGCATTGCCACGGACCCCAAGCTGTGTTCCTGCCAAGGCAGCATTGCCACGGACCCCAAGCTGTGTTCCTGCCAAGGCAGCATTGCCACGGACCCCAAGCTGTGTTCCTCCCAAGGCAACATTGCCACGGACCCCAAGCTGTGTTCCTGCCAAGGCAACATTGCCACGGACCCCAAGCTGTGTTCCTGCCAAGGCAACATTGCCACGGACCCCAAGCTGTGTTCCTGCCAAGGCAACATTGCCACGGACCCCAAGCTGTGTTCCTGCCAAGGCAACATTGCCACGGACCCTAAACTGTGTGCCTGCCAAGGCAACATTGCCACGGACCCTAAACTGTGTGCCTGCCAAGGCAACATTGCCACGGACCCCAAGCTGTGTTCCTGCCAAGGCAACATTGCCACGGACCCCAACCTGTGTTCCTGCCAAGGCAACATTGCCACGGACCCCAAGCTGTGTTCCTGCCAAGGCAACATTGCCACGGACCCCAGGCTGTGTTCTGCCAAGGCAACATTGCCACGGACCCCAAGCTGTGTTCCTGCCAAGGCAACATTGCCACGGACCCCAAGCTGTGTTCCTGCCAAGGCAACATTGCCACGGACCCCAAGCTGTGTTCCTGCCAAGGCAACATTGCCACGGACCCCAAGCTGTGTTCCTGCCAAGGCAACATTGCCACGGACCCCAAGCTGTGTTCCTGCCAAGGCAACATTGCCACGGACCCCAAGCTGTGTTCCTGCCAAGGCAGCATTGCCACGGACCCCAAGCTGTGTTCCTGCCAAGGCAGCATTGCCACGGACCCCAAGCTATGTTCCTGCCAAGGCAGCATTGCCACGGACCCCAAGCTGTGTTCCTCCCAAGGCAACATTGCCACGGACCCCAAGCTGTGTTCCTGCCAAGGCAACATTGCCACGGACCCCAAGCTGTGTTCCTGCCAAGGCAACATTGCCACGGACCCCAAGCTGTGTTCCTGCCAAGGCAACATTGCCACGGACCCCAAGCTGTGTTCCTGCCAAGGCAACATTGCCACGGACCCCAAGCTGTGTTCCTGCCAAGGCAACATTGCCACGGACCCCAAGCTGTGTTCCTGCCAAGGCAACATTGCCACGGACCCCAAGCTGTGTTCCTGCCAAGGCAACATTGCCACGGACCCTAAACTGTGTGCCTGCCAAGGCAACATTGCCACGGACCCCAAGCTGTGTTCCTGCCAAGGCAACATTGCCACGGACCCCAACCTGTGTTCCTGCCAAGGCAACATTGCCACGGACCCCAAGCTGTGTTCCTGCCAAGGCAACATTGCCACGGACCCCAACCTGTGTTCCTGCCAAGGCAACATTGCCACGGACCCCAAGCTGTGTTCCTGCCAAGGCAACATTGCCACGGACCCCAGGATGTGTTCTGCCAAGGCAACATTGCCACGGACCCCAAGCTGTGTTCCTGCCAAGGCAACATTGCCACGGACCCCAAGCTGTGTTCCTGCCAAGGCAACATTGCCACGGACCCCAAGCTGTGTTCCTGCCAAGGCAACATTGCCACGGACCCCAAGCTGTGTTCCTGCCAAGGCAACATTGCCACGGACCCCAAGCTGTGTTCCTGCCAAGGCAACATTGCCACGGACCCCAAGCTGTGTTCCTGCCAAGGCAACATTGCCACGGACCCTAAACTGTGTGCCTGCCAAGGCAACATTGCCACGGACCCCAAGCTGTGTTCCTGCCAAGGTAACATTGCCACGGACCCCACCTGTGTTCCTGCCAAGGCAACATTGCCACGGACCCCAAGCTGTGTTCCTGCCAAGGTAACATTGCCACGGACCCCACCTGTGTTCCTGCCAAGGCAACATTGCCACGGACCCCAACCTGTGGTCCTGCCAAGGCAACATTGCCACGGACCCCAAGCTGTGTTCCTGCCAAAGCAACATTGCCACGGACCCCAGGCTGTGTTCTGCCAAGGCAACATTGCCACGGACCCCAGGCTGTGTTCCTGCCAAGGCAACATTGCCACGGACCCCAAGCTGTGTTCCTGCCAAGGCAACATTGCCACGGACCCCAAGCTGTGTTCCTGCCAAGGCAACATTGCCACGGACCCCAACCTGTGTTCCTGCCAAGGCAACATAGCCACGGACCCCAAGCTGTGTTCCTGCCAAGGCAACATTGCCACGGACCCCAAGCTGTGTTCCTGCCAAGGCAACATTGCCACGGACCCCAGGCTGTGTTCTGCCAAGGCAACATTGCCACGGACCCCAGGCTGTGTTCCTGCCAAGGCAACATTGCCACGGACCCCAAGCTGTGTTCCTGCCAAGGCAACATTGCCACGGACCCCAAGCTGTGTTCCTGCCAAGGCAACATTGCCACGGGCCCCAAGCTGTGTTCCTGCCAAGGCAACATTGCCACGGACCCCAAGCTGTGTTCCTGCCAAGGCAGCATTGCCACAGACCCCAAGCTGTGTTCCTGCCAAGGCAGCATTGCCACGGACCCCAAGCTGTGTTCCTCCCAAGGCAACATTGCCACGGACCCCAAGCTGTGTTCCTGCCAAGGCAACATTGCCACGGACCCCAAGCTGTGTTCCTGCCAAGGCAACATTGCCACGGACCCCAAGCTGTGTTCCTGCCAAGGCAACATTGCCACGGACCCCAAGCTGTGTTCCTGCCAAGGCAACATTGCCACGGACCCTAAGCTGTGTTCCTGCCAAGGCAACATTGCCACGGACCCCAAGCTGTGTTCCTGCCAAGGCAACATTGTCACGGACCCCAACCTGTGTTCCTGCCAAGGCAACATTGCCACGGACCCCAAGCTGTGTTCCTGCCAAGGCAACATTGCCACGGACCCCAAGCTGTATTCCTGCCAAGGCAACATTGCCACGGACCCCAAGCTGTATTCCTGCCAAGGCAACATTGCCACGGACCCCAAGCTGTATTCCTGCCAAGGCAACATTGCTACGGACCCCAAGCTGTGTTCCTGCCAAGGCAACATTGCCACGGACCCCAAGCTGTATTCCTGCCAAGGCAACATTGCCACGGACCCCAAGCTGTGTTCCTGCCAAGGCAACATTGCCACGGACCCCAAGCTGTGTTCCTGCCAAGGCAACATTGCTACGGACCCCAAGCTGTGTTCCTGCCAAGACAACATTGCTACGGACCCCAAGCTGTGTTCCTGCCAAGGCAACATTGCCACGGACCCCAAGCTGTGTTCCTGCCAAGGCAACATTGCTACGGACCCCAAGCTGTGTTCCTGCCAAGACAACATTGCTACGGACCCCAAGCTGTGTTCCTGCCAAGGCAACATTGCCACGGACCCCAAGCTGTGTTCCTGCCAAGGCAACATTGCTACGGACCCCAAGCTGTGTTCCTGCTAAGACAACATTGCTACGGACCCCAAGCTGTGTTCCTGCCAAGGCAACATTGCCACAGACCCCAAGCTGTGTTCCTGCCAAGGCAACATTGCTACGGACCCCAAGCTGTGTTCCTGCCAAGGCAACATTGCTACGGACCCCAAGCTGTGTTCCTGCTAAGACAACATTGCT